AACATATAAAAATATTATAGTCTTTTACAGCCATTAATGGAGTAGTTGAACAACATATAAAAATATTAGTCTTTTACAGCCATTAATGGAGTAGTTGAACATATAAAAATATTGTAGTATTGTAAATATTTTAATGATATACAAGTTTTAAGTTCTTAATTTTATAAGGCAATATTAAAAAAATCTTCAATTTACCCAAGTGTGAGAAATGCGACTTTTTTCCCTAGGCATTCCCTCTTCTCTACTTTATTCACCACCCCTCCAATAAGTACGACATTTGACATAAATTACTCACAATAAAATTGTCATCACTGAGACAAATCATAATTTTATTGCCTTCAATCGTGTTTGGTTACAGAGCCATCGAATAGAAAATCAGACCTCTCTTGCTACACCCAACTGTCATGTCTTGTCTTCCAGGATTTGTTAATAGTTCTCTTTTACATTTAATACAATATTAGTTATAACTAATTTATAACCCATCTGCATACCATAACCCCAAAGAAGGAAAACACCAAAAGATGTGGTGAATGGGCAGTATATTGTACTGTTAAATTTGTATATTAGTACTGTTCAAGAAACTTCACCCAGTGTTGTAGGCTATATTTTCAATGTTATAATGTTTTTTGCTACAGGGAGCCATGAACAATGATGATGTAATAACCAAGAGGTTTTGTCTAATATCTACAGATGAGAATATGTTACTGATAAATACAAGTAATCATTTAGTGAAGTCAGAAAAATTTTTCACAGTTACTTGAATGATTAGCAAGGAAATTCTGTAAATGTACTTACCATTAGTCTGGGAATTTCTGTTAAAACACAATTTGAGCAGTTACACCTATAACTACAAGTGAAAGTAGCCCGTAGCCAACATCAAGGAAGAAATAAGCTAATTTGTTATGTTGACTAGATTTTGCATTATATTTACCATACAATAATAATAATTAAAGAAACGACCAATGAAAGAACATTTTATAACATTATGCAATCTAATCTAGATAAACCAATATTAATTTTAAATAAATATCTGGAATTCTAAGACTGTTGCATCAGCTCAGCAAGACTGAAAATTCCAAATTAATAAACTTATTACAATTCTACACAGTGTACAATCAATGGTTATCCCAAATAATGTCTCTTGCATGTAACAAGCAAGTAACCTCTGCCTTTACTTGTAGGCCTAAAACAATTCTGAGTTTCTACCAATTCATTTAACAAATTTCAATAATAATTTTTTTCCCCTAACATTTCTTATATTTTTACTGAAGGGATTTCTTAAGTTTCCTGAAATTTTCAAAATCAAATTTAGAAAACTGGAAGATTTCAGAATTATTTTCCTCTATCACTGATGAGGCTTACACCTTCATCATGCAGATTTAACCTATTTTTTTGACACAATGATTGTATTTTGCTATCTTCAACAAACATTTGTGTGTTTACACTATTTATTAATTTCAAGTACCTTCCTTACAGCATTTATGTTTCAATTTAAATTTCTAAGCTCATTTAATTCATTAAGAGTTAAACATCCCCTTGTGTGAACTCACCTTAGCTATTAGAGGAGCAACAGCATGGCTATGCTCAAGCCCATTTATTAACCGAACGATGCTCGTAGGGTCACTACTGTAGAAATCGGGACTAATAAAGGGCCACATCTTAAAAGATTCATTTTTCGTACTCCACTCTTTGGATGGCAAAGCTTGGGTTTTCTGTACCTTGTGATTAATTGTCATCTTCAACAACTGTCTCAATGACTCACTTCCTACAGTGGAAACATTATCTCCTAGCTTCTCTTCTTTTGACTGGCTATTGATTACTGAAGGAGTTTTAGGTTCATCTATGGTCCCTCTTTGTTTTTTCTTTCTCTCCATTGCCAATTTATAAACTTTGTTTCTTAAAGTAGACCGTGGAATACCATAAATAACAGCTGCACGACGAGTACCCAGTTTTCCAGTCTGAATATCTCGAAGCGCTGCTTGTAGTTCCTCATCGGTATAAGCTCGTTTGTAACCCAAGTCCGTTCGACGTTTTTGTCTACAAAAATTTCAAGATATGTACACATTTATAAATTTTAAAAGATGTATCTATGATCTTAATTGGTAAACTTAAAAAAAATCAAGAAGAAAAAACTTTATGATGCTTGAAATTTAACTGGAATTTCAACAAAACACTTTACGTCATCAGCATTTCCGTACTATTACATTTTCTCAATACAAGTATATACACATTCTCTCTAAATCAACAAAGGATTGTTTATGAACCAATAAAGCACACAAATCAACTATTTTTCACATATGCAGACAAGTTATACTTAAATGGAAATGGCAAACAAATGTTTTTCTTATGTACTACCTTGACACAGAAAAACTGTACACCATTCAATTAGTAACTCTTTTACTGTGTTATGCCACAGCATCTACTGCACACTGTTTCACAGAATCAATGGCATATACTATCCTTCTTTTCCTAATCACAGATGAATTTGCCCAGGCAAATCTTGTGTTTTGTTAGTGGATATGTTATTAATGTGCAGATCATATGACTTTGTACTGTTACTACCACATATCTTCAGCAGGATAATGTGCTTTAACACATGTTTTGGGTGAATCCTGGGGCTTCCTCAACAGTCACTCCTTTACTTCTGCAGCTGTATATTGCTGTTTAGCCACCATAAACTTGGAAGAAGAAAAAACAACTACGTTTCCACTTGTAGAAGAGGTTTTCCTCCTCATTATATTACAAAATATCAGATCAGTGAATGTTGGAGAATCTCCAAGACTTAACCCAAACAATTTTCAAACACTGGATGTTTGTAAAGTGTTTGCCACACTTATATACAACAAGATGAATAACTTACATAACTGACAGTTGTAGGCCTAAAAAGTCAACCAAGCAATGTCTTGAATGTTTATAATAGATATGAAGTTACAAAACAAAGGATTATACGATAAAATCATAAAAAAATGTTTTAATAGCTTTGAAACTGTAGCAAAAGCTTCAACACCGTAATAAACTTACCACATAGTTGTCATGGTGACAAATCTAACTCTTTCATGTAATATTTAAGAATTATACAGAGTATAAGCTCAAACAATTAAAACAAATTATGGGTATCACATTGAATGTTACGCTTGGCATGTGAACACAAATACTTTTTATCAGTATCTGCAAACAAAGAAATCATAGGTTTAATAAATAATTTTTTCTTGTATTTTTCATATATCAATAAAAACTGAAATTCATTGGAACTTTAATTCTCATAAATTTTAAAACCATTTATAAAATCTTTGTTTAAACTTTCATTGACGGACTTGAAAAATACTCAAGAGTGAAAAAATTATAATGATAATATAAGGAACAAAACTTTTTTTCTACCAAAAATGTGCACTTAGTTTCATTAAAAAATCACAAAACATCTAATAAAGTTAATTATGTTGTCCTACTGAACATTGTATAAACATCTTCTACAGTTCATCATGTTGTCCTACTGAACATTGTATAAACATCTTCTACAGTTCATCATGTTGTCCTACTGAACATTGTATATACATCTACTACAATTCATCATGTTGTCATACTGAACATTGTATAAACATCTTCTACAGTTCATCATGTTGTCCTACTGAACATTGTATAAACATCTTCTACAGTTCATCATGTTGTCCTACTGAACATTGTATAAACATCTTCTACAGTTCATCATGTTGTCCTACTGAACATTGTATATACATCTACC